AGGAATGAACAATGGCAGAGAGAGCACAAAATCAGAGCTAAGCCACAGCAGGTCCAAGGGAATTACACTGAGCATTTCTGCAGCAGCTTAATCATAATTTTATATGAATCCACTTGGACCTGCACCCCTTTTATTTCCTCTGCTAAATGTGTACTGACAGTAACTGCTGCAGAGCACCTGTGTGTTCCTCTGTACCATCAGCAGGCCGTGGTGAGCCTGGCGCAATGTGGACTGCCAGGGAGTTTACAAAGCTGCAACACCCATCAGAGCCCTGATGAAAACACACAGAGACACCTCATTCCTACAGGTAACAGCCAGCCTGGCTGCACCTCTGCTCTGCCTGCTCCTGGAGTGCTAAAGCCACGAGTAATTGCAAATATTCTGGTAGAGACGCCAGTTCTCAGAGCTCAGAGATGGAAAAATGTCCCTAAGTGCTGCTCTGTTACAAGAAATGGATTTGTGTTGCTGCTTGCCAACAGAATGAAGGAGAATCATAATTGTTCCAATCATCTGCAGAATGGGTTTGGATGAAATAGGGTAAGTCACAGTCAATAAAGACAATTCAGAAGCAAAATAAGAAGGAAATTTCCTGAATGGCTTCATAGACTTTGGTCATCCAACTCCAGGGACGTGCTGATATTTTCAGTGTGTTCACAGCAGGAACAATTTGTATCTAATAGGACATGTACAAATTGGAATGGGATTGTTTAGTTCTAAAAAGAAAAGCCCAACAGAAATTAAGGTATCAGTGTGTCACCAGCTCTTCTAAAGAGCTTGAGAGGCTTCATAGAAGCACATTTGGAAGTCCTAAGGAGAGTATCTAATAGCAGAATACTTAGCTGGAAATGTTTTTACTGACTAAAGAACAATGAAATATAAAGTTCTTACCTCTTCCCTCAGAGTTACCTGCAGAAAGAGAAAACCAAAGTCTCTTAGCAACAAAGCAATATGACATTTTAAGTCAGGAAGGATCAAAGACCAAGACAGGAATAGATTTAGTAACCCTCATCATTTGCTTCTAAATCTTTCCTTTAAAACACCAGCTACAAAACCTGGATGTTAAAATGAATTTCAGAGCAAGGAAAAAGGAACAAATCCTAAGTTTTTATCAGCAGAACAGGGAGATGAGCTGAGCTGCAGCATCAACAAACACAACTTAGCACTCTTAATCACTAACAGAGACTGTTTAAGCCCATAACCAGCAAGTCACTGGTGTAATTCATTAGCACTTAAATATTAAGAGATAACACTTGTGCATAATTTTAAGAGAGCGGCTGAGCCAAGAGTTCAATTAAGAGCAGCTGGGCGCAGGCATGGGGGTGAGGAGCATCCAAGGAAATTCTCTACCTGCTGGATTGGATGTCTCATCCAGAGGACACCAGAACAAACCTGTGCCAGTGAGAGCACACTGGCTCTCCTCCTGCAATGCTGCTGACACAGGCACCCCATGACTCTGTTCTGTTGTGAAGAGCTGCAGCAGAGCGTTGAGGACAATTTTGGTGGGTTTGGAGAAGCAGGAATTGTGTGTATAACATGTAATTCACGTGTCACCTTCTGCCCTGTGCCTCCCTTGAGCGCCACTTAATCCTTCAATGACTAATATCCAAACTTCCTATTAAGACTAATGGCAAGGGCAGCTCTAAAACTAATTTTGCTTCTTGGCAAATTACTTGAAATAAAGCAAGAATCAGGTCTGGTCATTTGTTCTTGGGACTGACATTAAGTGAGAAGCCACATGTGGCCTTGATGGTGCAATGGCAACAGAGACAACTCATCTAGACCTTACCAAGATTAAAGTAGCCCAACTAATGGGGAAAAATGATAATGTAAGGATAAAATCACAGAATGGTTTGTGTTGAAGCAAAGATCATCTAGTGCAACTTCCCTGGATGTCTCACTACATGATCTTGGCCCAAAGCTTTGGTTGGATAAATCTCTTCTGATCTGGGCAGTTCAGAGGGTTATGTTGTTTTGAATCACTACAGAATTTGCCCCAAAGTGTTTTCTCACTCCATTTTGTTCAGCAAAACAAAAGAAGAGCAAAGAAACAAACCCAGAGGCTGGGTGTCCAGGAGGAGAAGAGGTGGAAGAGATGCCTACCATTGTGGGAAGCAGAAGAAGTCTCTTGTGTCGTCACCGTTGCACTGTAATTCCTCTCCATCATCTCTGCTTCTGTGCTGGAGACAGCAGTGCGTGGAGCAGACGGTGTCACGCTGGGGAGCAGGGAGGTGGCTGGAGGCACAGGCACAGTTGTCCCCAGCGTGGAGGAGGTGTTGAGGCTGACAGTGGTGGTGTTGGGGGAGTGCCTGGTGGCTGTGGTTGTAGGTGGCTTTGACGCCATGGTAGAAACAGTCCCTGGAGTGCTAACGTTGAGCCTGTTCGCGCTCGTTGTAGTCCCATCCTCAGGACCTGCTGTAGGAGCTTTGGTGGGTCTCCTGGGGGAGGTGGGCACTGTTATGGGTGGCCCTGGGAGAGGAAAAGAGAGAACCTCCATTAGATACTTTTCTGTGACACTGGAGGGTTTAGATGCTGGAGTTTTGTGTGACTGTAACTATAAGGACAAAAAACCCAACAAATCCCAAGTGCAGTACAGGGAATGCACTGTGCAGCAGGTGATGCAAATCTTACAAAAGCAGTAACTTGAATAGGTAATATGACATTGAGCAGGTACAAACGTTAGAGCCCCTGTAGGTGAGGACCAATATTTGCCAGAGGTAAAGCCTGTGGGTCCCATTCATGAGCACCTGCAGCTCATCACCCTCTTTCCAACACTTCATATTACAGTTATGTGGAGGGCAGAAGGAGTAAGTCATGAGCACATGGGCACTTCCTTCTTTGATGTTAAAGATGGGATAAAGGAGAGGAGACAGGAGCATAGTTTACCTGTTGTAATGTTGTTAGCACCTATGTGTATCAGGCCACTTCCAAGCAAAAGTAGAAAGAACCACAAATCCATGTTGACCTGGAGAAGAGAGCACAGAACAGTTATTTAAACCTTCATATGACATTACCCCAATATAATTCAAACTGGGGACACCTCTGTGCATCTTGCAGAGCTGAAAGGGAGGAGTGAAAGTGTGACCAGAGTCCCTGCAGGCATGCGTATGGGAAGGATTTATGGATATGTTCATATGTCCCCAGTGGGAGAGATCCCAGTCTGGTGGACCAGCAAAGGTGACCAGGGATGAAGCAGAGAACGGGTGAACTGTGGGAGAGCATGAGAGGAACAAGCTATGAAGCTGAGGCCCAAAGATCAGCACCTGGTCTGAAAGGGAATTCATAATATGTACATAGAACCACAGAATATCCCACAAAGATCATCAAGTCCAACTCCAGGCCCTGCACAGGACATCCCAGCAATCATACCCTGTGCCTGAGAGCATTGTCCAAACACTCCTTGAGCTCTGCTAGGCTTGTGGCTGTGACCACTGCCCTGGGGAGCTGTTCAATGCCCAACCATCCTCTGGGGGAAGATCCTTTCCCTAATATCCACCTAAACCTTCCTGACACAGCTCCATGCCCTTCGCTCAGGTCCTGTCATTGGACACCAGAGAGCAGAAATGGGTGCTGCCCCTCCACTTTGCCTCATGAGGAAGTTGTATACTGCAACAAGGTCTCCCCCTCAGTCTCTTCATTTCCAGGCCTAACAAACCATACAAAGTTCTGCAAAAGAATATAATTTGAGCAAACCAAAATGCTATACATGGGAAGACCACAGCAAGAAGCCCTGATGCCAAATGCCTAGGAATTGGCAGCAGGGACAAAGGAGAGGTCAGATCCTCCAGCAGGCATTGCCCTTGGATCCCTCCTGGCTCACTGATGACCTACTGTTACGGGGCAGGGACAGACCCTGCACGAGGCCACTCTCAGCTCCACTCAAGCTATATAAAATACACAAATACCCACAAATAATCCAAGATTATGGATTATAGTCCATATAATGTAGATGCAGGCTGCACACTCGTTCTGTACGTTCTTCACAGGAAATATCCAGCAAAATTACAGCACGATGACATCAGTGAAGCTGTCACCCCCAGCCCTTTTAGATACAAGGTTTTTGTGGTGATTTCTTTCCTCTGGAGACCTCAGAAAGCTCCTGAGAAGTGAGTATGGTTACCTCCTCCCAAGCAGCTCCAGATCCAGAGGTTCAGGCAAATGACTGTGAGATGTGACACGTCACCGTGCTGGCCAGAACATAGCCCAAAGCTGCCAAGCTCCAGACCAGCACATGGCCCTGGAGCCTCCCAAGGATGGGCCAGAATCTTGCCTCTGTTACAAGCCCAGAGAGGGCTCGGAGACAGCTCTACTATGTGCCATCAGCCAGCAGCTGCTACACGACTCTGCTGTCCTTCAGGCTTTTGTCATGTGTCCAGTTGCATCTCCAGGATCTCCTGGGAGAAGGCTGCTAGATCTCACTGCCAAGTCAACTTGACATACTGCCAAGAAAGGGTTTTATTCCCGATACTTGGCCTAACCCTCCCCCTCTAATACATCTCATGTTGTTTATTCTTGTTCTATTTATTTAAATCTGCTTCATCTAGACCCATCCCAAACTCTGGGCAAAAGGACAACACTGAAGTAATTCATGCACTGGAAACGGTATCAGAACTACAAGATCCTCCCACCCCACCCGGGAGTATCCTCCCACCAGCACCACCCACTTACATGTTTTTCCTCCCCCCCAAAAGAAAACCTGGCAAAAATAGACCTTACTCAGTGACCAAAAGGTCAGACAAACCCTGAACCAGAAGGAAACCAAGCTCTGGAGATAAGAGCTTTCTGTAGGCTTCCTCCATGGCCAGCTTTGCTGCTAGAAGCAGAGCAGGGCTTTGTCCAAAGGTCCCACTGGTGTGAGCAGTCAGCTTTCCAGAGGGTTTCATCACCGGTTAAAATATCTGTCTGCATGAATTTGAACTGATTAAGTCCTGTCATTGACGAGAGCAAGACTGATCCTGCAATGCCTCCCTGAGGCCATGCTCAGGGTGGGATGTCAGGAAAACCCACAACAAGTAGTTTGATGGTTTGATGACTTCTGATGATTTGACACACCCCACTCAGCTTGCTCAGTGCCTGCCAGAGGCTGAGTGGTGCTTGGTCTAAACTGGTTTAACTTTGGAGAGACAATGTGACGTTTATAAAGAAGAAATTGTTCCCTGTGAGGGTGGTGAGGTACTGGCACAGGTTGCCTAGAGCTGAGGCTGCCCCATTCCTGAAAGTGTTCAAGGCCAGGCTGGATGGGGCTTGGAGCAACCTGGTCCAGTGGAAGGTGTCCACGGCAGGGGGATTGGAACAAGGTGATCTTTAAAGTCCTTTCCAACTCAAACCATTCCATGATTCTCTGATTCTAAGCAACCCACTGCAGGAGACAAATGCTCTGAGAATCCCACTGTGGAAACCCCGGAAATAGGGTGCTCACCATGACAGGACCCATGTGCAAAGGCAGGAGGAACCTAAGTCCATGCTGAACCTCCAGTGAATGTAACAGCAGCACTGAGATGCTCTGGAAGCCTCACAAGGGCTGATGAAGGTGCCAAGGCCTTGTCATCACAACTGCTTCCCTCACTGTGAACCCATCACTGCCACGGCAAGAGAACAATTGCAAGGAAAAGGGAAAGACTTGGCTCTTCTGCAAGCACTGCTAGGGAAAAAAGTGTCTGTTCACTGTGTTTTGATGACTATTTGTACAGAAATGCCATTCGCATAGGTGGATGTGGCTCCTTTCTCTTCCCACAACTCATCTCTCAAAATGAGAGTTCCCATTCTCTTGGGATCCCAATCACTCGGGTTCCCATTCATTTGGGATTCACATTAATTTGGGATCCCATTAATTAGGAATCCTGTTCGTTTGGGATCTCCATTCATTTGGCATATCCTTCATTTGGGTTTCCCATTCATTTGGGATCCAGTCCATATTGGATCCCTGTTCATTTGGGATCGCCATTCATT